CTCCTAAATCACTTGTACGCACAATTTAAGAACAAATCTGTGCGTACGAACGGTTCTTGCATGAGGCCCATTGTTTTAAAGTATGTTTGTTAATTAATAACAGTTTCTTCTTTTTTTGGGCTCATTTTGTTTTAATCTCTTTGTAACTCTGTTATTTTTAGCACTAGTTCCAAAAAAAGCAGATAAATGTGTCATTATTTAGTGACACTTTTCTCAGATGTGGTGCGGAGTAAAAGAGTGGCTGTTTAGAGTTTGGTGGAAAACACAAAACAGATGAAAGAAATAAGTGTTTAAAGCAGACAAGCTCTGTCAGAAAAGTTTGTCTCTCTTTGGTGACGACTTGGATATGTCCACTGTCGCTGCTTGAGGTCAGATCTGGTGAGTTTTGTTGTGAGAAACAGAGGATTACAGAGGCAGCTYTTTGACGGTCTCTGCTCTTCCAGGTATGTGGAGTACTTCAGCGGCCTGCTGTCTGGCCACATTAAGATCAATAACAAGCCTCTGTTCCTTCATCACGTCATCCTGCACGGCATTCCCAACTTTGAGTCCAAGGGAGGTTAGTGCCATGTCCAGAAACTCAGTAACCATTTGTAGCACATAGACTGACAACTTTTTTCTGTTCCAGGTTGTCGTCCCTTTCTTAAAATCTACCAGGCCATGCAGCCCGTCTACACATCTGGGATCTAGTAAGCTTTTAAACCCACTCACATGCTCTTACAAGCTTGTAATAATATAAACTCAAAGTTTTCCTTTAACTCCTCTGCATTTATACACATCAACCATCCTGCTGGTTTACACACCAAGCTTGGCTCATATTAACATATTTAGCCAGTCCCTGGCAGCTGCAGGATGGTTGATTGACATCAGATCCTGTAATCACGTCTGGTAATATTTGCGACCAGAGGGTCAATCAAACAGGCATCTGTGTGGATGCCTGCTGAGGTTTCCCTACAGGTTCTCAGGGCCAGACAGGAAACAAGGCTGTGTCTCAGTTCCTGGGCTGCATCCTCACGAGTGCACATTCGTCGGCCGCGTACGTCACTTTCTCGTGCCGAGTGCTGTCCCAATTCAAAGGCTCCTCCTCATGGGGCCGACAAACTCTAGAAAATTCAGGAAGCATCCGAGTATCCTTCCCGGCCGAGGATATCCCAGGATTCAATGCGCCGACAGCAAACTAAACAGAGAAACGAAGACGGTGGAGTTTTTATTTTTTTTACCATGTCGGCAAAGTTTGGAAATTTACAGAAGCCGAGAGCGTCCATTTTCAGCATATAATTGTTTTTATGGTTTTCTCTTAATAATGCTCCTTGTTATGTTTGGATAACAAAATATGTCATTATCACGAAATAACAAGGTGTTTTCTGGAGATAATGAGTTGTRCTTTAATTGTGCATCATTCAGTAACCATGATCCCCTCAGCTGGTCACCGATACAGTTTATTGTATCAGCACGATCACTGTGTAAACGCCTGCTGAGCTGTAGTCGGGCCAGCCGTCTCCTTAAATAAAGAGGGCTGATATGAAAGTTATCTGTAGACAAACAAATCTTAATTTCAGCAAAAAATGACACAAATTATGCATACAAGGTTGCCTTCAGGCCCAGGCCACCTTTGCAAAAGAAATCTGCGATCTCAATGGGATTTTCCTGGTTAAAWAACAGTAAATAACCTAAAAGCACTGAGAGAGTGCAAACCTCCRCCAAGGCCAATTTCCCCTGTTCTGCAATAGTGAAGAATCTTTCAAAAATATTCCTGGATCCAGATCATCACCAAAATGTAATGGTGAGTTCCTTTGGCCAATACCCACCTGTGGTAAAAAAAAATTCATGAAAATCCATCCATAAGCTGTTGAGAAATATTGTTCACAGACAGACATACGTAACCGAAAATATAACCTCTTTGGTGGAGGTAAAATATATATGTTTGTGTGTGAGTGTGTGTTTGTGCTGTGTGTGATTTATTACATTGTATATATGTGTCTTATATGGGGGTGTTTTTTTGTCATACATATGTGTGTTTGTGTACAAGTGCTTTACAATGACTAAAAAYDTAATAAATTACATACAACAMAAGGACTGGAACAGCRTCAGAATAAAGAAAACATTTTGCCATAAAAGAARAAACAGAGGAAACATTTTTTTTAAAGAAAACCTTAGTGTTATCTATCGGATAACAGACCTGAACGGGGGGTTGGGTGAGTTAGCTAGTTTACCTTTCCGATACAGGTGGGGGGACAAAATACAAAATTGTAAACACAAAATACAAAATTGTTAGGATATGCATGCCGATGTGTCATGAAATTGATCTTTTGCTACATTAAAGTCAGTTAAAACTGTAACTTTTTCGATGTAAAAATAATTTGGTCTAAAGTTTTATTTCCATGCGCCTTCGTGATTGGTCTTCTACACCGCTTCAGGCAATCCCATTGGATGTCTACAGTCGGGGGGGTGTTGACCCGTCTACGAATGATCCGATGTGATTGGAAGTCAACAATCAGCTTCCTTGAAGCTGATTGGCTGTCTACAGCTACAGTTATACAATGGATTATTTCCAAGAATCCTTAAAAAATTCCTGCATCCGCATCACGATTCAGATCATCACCAAAATGTGACRGTGTTTTCCTTGGGTCAGTACCCACCTGCGGTAAAAATGTCATGAAAATGCATCCATACGTTTTTGAGTAATTTTGTCCAAAGACAGACAGACGTACGCAACCGAAAACTTTACCTACTCCCTCGGCAGGGGAAATAAATAACAAGAATTTGTTGGATTGAATCCCAGTCAGGGACCTTTCTGTGTGGATATTGGATGCGAAGGTACTCCGGTTACCTCCCACAGACCAAAAATACGTGTTAGGTATATTGGTAACTCTAAATTGTTTCTAGGTGAGAGCGTGAATGGTTGTTTGTCTCATTTGTCTCTATGTGATGGACTTGGGACCTGTCCAGGATGTACCCTGCCTCTTGCACAGTGATTGCTAGACATGGGCACCCGTGAATCCCGCAATCCAAAGAAGGATGAATATTTAGCTGAGCCAAAACACAAAAGTGCAAAACAACAAGGCAGGCGGTCTTGATGTAAAACAATTGGGGAACTCTCACTTCTAAAAATGTCAAGCTTTGAAATCCCCTTTAATCATTTTCCTCCTCTCTCTTTCACATGCTCCTTATTAGCACTCTTCACGCTTTGATCCTTCTCTCACAATTATGGTCAAATTTAATCCAGAAATGTCCCTTCTTTTAAAGAAATGTGATCTTTGGAGAACACATAAGTATCCAGGCATTAAAAAATAAAAAAGCAGTAATGCAGTGGAATGATGTCTCCACAGCAGAAGTCTGAAAGCTCAGTTTGTTTGATTTGTTGTTTGTTTCTTTTTTTCAGTAATGTTCAAGGTGACAGTCAGACAAGTATTTGCATCACCATTGAACCAGGTCTTCTTCTGAAGGGGGACATCTTGGTAAGAACAACAAATGCATTCTTTATTGGTTTTTACTATTAGAAATGAGCAGCCCAATGAATCCAGCTGCAGACATGTAAAGAAATACTTTTTATTTGTTCAGGGGTTTCTCAGGGAATCCTGATGGTTGGCTGTAAGCACTGTTTGCATGTTTATAGTAGCTTTTCACTGAAGGAACAAGGTTGTAAAAACCCGGTGAAACACTTTTGGACCAGGACTCAGTTTATAGAACCTCATTAGTTCATAATATGTTTCTGGAAACTGTGACGTCCTCTTCTCCGGCAGTATTTTGGGAAATACAACATGTCATTCTAACAGTGGTGGGTACAGCTAATCAAAATAATAACTTCACTAACATCTAAATGAAAAATGTCTGCTAACAGCAAAAGGCTAATTTGGATCAATTACAGCCTGTGAAATTGTGTTTCTTCTGATTTAGTTCTTATATTTGCACGCTATTAACTCTAAATAACTATTATTTGTTTGCCCCAGAATAAAGCAAAGGTGTGGGTATTCATTTCACGTTTTTATTTATTCATTTATTGATTTATTTATTTATTTTTTGAAACAAATTCAGGAGTTCTCTGTTACTGAATGACATCCCAGCTGCAAAGGATGCTGGGAAAACATCTATTTTTTTCTGATTTGTTTACAGTAATATTGAGGATGGAGTGTAATTCAGTTTAATTAAATTCAGTTTATTTATACAGCTCCAAGTCACAACAAGTGTCGTCCCAGGGCACTGTACACAAAAAGCAATAAATCTAAAGATTGCTTTTCTTCTGTTGGATAAGCTTGTAGCTTTCAATATACATACAGTATATATAT